TTTTTATTTTAAAGAGTTTACCGAGTTTATTTATAAAAATTAGAGTAAATTTTTTGCAAAATTCCATATTAAAATTTTAAAACTTTAACGGGCGCTACTTAACTATTAAAAAAAGAACAATTCAGACCAATCAAAATAGCCTACAAATGCATTTCTAAAACCATAATAATCAATAAGTTATTATAAGATTCAAAACCAAACCAAGAGATTTCAACATGATCCCATCAACATGATCGACAGAAAGTTTAAGCGGAAGCATCAAAATCCATAACTAACAATCCAACACAATTAAATAATGCGGAAGCAAAGACATGACGATCCAATGACCACCACTTGCTCGTCTCTCGCTGCCGCCGCCAACATTGCTCAACCTAAAGATAGGAAGAGGAAACAAGAGGACAAAACAAACAATGGGGGCGAGCAAAACCACCATGCTCACCAATATCGCATAAGTCTATCTCGCATAAAAATCCAAAACCATAAATAGAGTATGCATAGAATCCAGGTCTATCGCTCTATATGGCCCTATCACAAACCTCCTATGTACATACAACAACCTTCCGATCAGACATCGGCAAGGAAGTAACCGAAAACCTTCCCTGCCTAGCTCGACATAGGCAAAAGGATCCTTTTCGGAAGACAGTAGAGCTATTTTTCCACTCCCGACTAGGCAAACGGTTCAGCGACCTCTAACTGTTTATGCATTTGTCAAAGGCACTAAAGCCGAGACGCCCCTGGCGGTGTAATACACTAGACTAGGGTTCTCAGACATACTTAAGTTATCGAAACAAACATTTATACGAAATAAAAAAATGCGATAATTATAGATACACAAACTGTACCCACATGTTCGAAAACAAGAGATAACACAAAACACGTGTAGGTAGCGAGCTCGGCTAGTCAATCACCTACATATATTAAAATAGTCCTATAAATGACTATCCAGCACATGAACAACTTATAGCATCATAGATGGATTCCACTCAGCACATCTAAGTGATATAGGCATGCATTTAACAAGTAAAACCCAATTTCATAGGTACAATACAAGATTTCCAAAACTTAACCCGTGCAGCGATTTTGAAATCAACACAACTTGCAGTCCATATATCATATAATCATGATTCCAGTTGATTTTGAACCCTAAGACATGCCTCTACAATTCTTATTCAGACATCGAGAACAAATAAGGTAAATTACTAGGAGATAAATCATCAAACACCTAAAATAGAGTTATTGTCCAAAACCGGGAATATGCAACTGACCAAACTTCAGTAAATGTTAGCTAACTGGAACTATAGGAATGTTTTCGATGAGATTCAAAAACCACATGATAGCTAACTCAAATGTATACAACTTCGGTGATGATCACATTAGCAAATAATCACATTATCAATGAGTTTAAATACAAAACTTTTGATTCATAAAATGTGTCGGAGACTCACATATGATATAAACAGCACCTCCGTATTTATCGTCTAACTCATGCTACCGACTTCCGAATGACATGATTCTTATATGATTAGAAAGCTAAGAGACACACGTACAAAGTTTATGAAGATTACAAACTCATTTGAGCATAGTAAGATACCATAAATAGGTCAACATATATTAGTACATGCTGTCGGGTTTTCAAAAACAGCTTTTACACTCGTTTTATAAAAATCATAACTCACTCGATATAACTCGGATTATCGAAATTCCAAAGCCCTAAGAAAGCCAACAGAAAACAATACATTTTAACAGAAGGCCTCAACAAGAAGCTACAGGTTTTTGATGGTCATAATTACAGCACAACAGAGCATTACATCATGCATAAACCAATTGAAAGAAATCCAACTTCAAACAAAGATTCAGTAGTACGAACGATATATTTATATATGACATGTGATATACAAGCACGACCTGAATAACGAGAGGGTTCGGAAATATTACCCGTCTTCGAGAAACAACGAGCTCGGTTAAAGGAATCGAACAAAACGACGGGAACAAAATTCCACCGGAAAATACGGCCAGAGATTTTTCTCAAGACGACGTAGGGGAGCTCAAAATAAATGATCGGAACCTAGAAATAATAAATCGATACCACCACCGACTTCTCCTCTTCTCGTGCTTTCACAGAAATACTTTTTGGTAATGCTCGACCCAGTTTTCGAGTCCCGACGGGACACCCAAAGTTGACAAGAAAATTAGCTTAAATAGGGAAATATGGAGAAAAATAATTTCATTTGCTGCCATCATTCTCTGGGCATAAGCATGGCGAGGAAAGAAGAAAACAAACTGATAATGAAGATGGATTGATATGTTGAAGAAGTTTGGAAATGGAAGAAGGATTTATTACTATATGCTAAGGATAAATTTGAGCCATAATCAAATAAAATGGAGAGATGAAAAATGATAGAAGCTATAAATCTTTAGTTGAAGAAAAACTCTCCCGCTAATGATATATATATATGTATATATATATATATATATATACTAGATGGCTTTACGCTGTGCACGCACGGCGGTCTAACACCCGGTGTAAAACTACTGTGAAATTTTGTCATAAGTTGTTGCAGCTTTTATTCTAGCGTATGTTGCATTTGTTCATATATATTGTACCCTTTTTTTTATGAAAATGTTTTAAGATTTTGCGCTCTTGAATTTCGTCAGTGGTTTATGAGTTGTGAGTTTGTTTATATCCGTGTATGTGCGCATGCATCCCTAAACTGAAATCGTGGTCAAAGTTATCTGCGCCTTTTCAGGCACAACTTTCACCAAATCCAAATCCTCACTAATTGCTGCAACATGGGTTGTACCCTTCACATGGATCAACTTGAGTTCGAGTTTGACAGAACTCAAGTCAAACATACTCGAGCGCTCGCGAGTGATGTGAGTCGCTCGTCTTGATTGTAACTCTATTCTCAAAAAATATAATGTGGTAATTAACTTCCATGAACTTAATATAAGAATTATGTAAACGATATGAAATCAACAATGTGGTTGTAATATAATATATCATGTTTAGATAAATAATATGATATATTGAATGTAACCGTATGTATGCATGGAAGTAAATAGTGAATTATATAAATGATATGAAATCAACAATGTGATTGTAAAATAATATATCCTGATTAGATAAATAATATGATCCATTGAATGTAACTATATGCATACATGCATGTAAATACTTGAATAATATAAATGATATAAAATCAACAATGTTGTCCTTTTAAAAATAAACAAATAAATAAATAGTTAACAAACAAAGCCATATATTGAATATATGTATGAATTACACATGCAAAGGAGAGTAACAAACCAGTGACTTATTTGCAAGGGACTCAATTTCAACAACAAAATGTTTCATTTCTCTACCAGCCAAAGCAGTAATAACACATCATACGAAAACACTATTTAGTCTTGAATCTTGATTAACAAAGCAAACTAAAATATTACAAGACCAACCTTAAATTAATCTTCTTCATCTGTCTCGTTCTCTTCGTAGACGTTTCGGTCCTTGTTTGAAGCTATCACCCGGAGCCAATCATGCACATTGTTCTTCTTAAGATATTTCTTTGTCAAGTATTTCAAGTACATGTGCACGAAGAAAACAACAGACATAAAATTAACTCCTGTCAGAAAATAGGTTTATAGTTTGGGGCAGATGTTAATGTAGGTCCAGGAACAGCTCAAATCTATTGGAAAACTGAGATTGATTTCACAAGTTCAAGCCCACCTGCACTTACAAGATACTCTCCCTCTCTTTCTCTCTCTCTCTCTCTCTCTCTCTTTTCAATTATTCGAGTGCGATAACACAGCACATTGCAAGTGCAAAATCACAATACACCGAAAATTTAATGAAAGCAATAACATTAAAATAAGTATGGCAATTACTAACAGGCTTATCTATCAATGTGGCGCAGCACAAAAACTATAAAATCGTGAGCTCAATTATCGATAACGGATAACCATTATTCCAAGACATTAATATCAATATGAAATTGCTACAGCAATTCACAACAATATTTTGATTACACGATTAAACCTTGTTTTACTATACGACTTTACTTACTTACATTAACATACAAAATGCAAATATTATGTATTTGTCATACTACAAGTCATTTTTTCTTTGTTTTTTTTTTATAGTATTCTTTCATACGGATCAACAAAAAACACTACAAGCTATAGCCAAACATATAAATAAATGCACCAAGTTTCTACCAGTTAACAATTTGGAGTAAAAGATCAACAACACAATAGAATTTTTATTATCAACAACACAATAAAAAAATCCCCCTTCTTTTAACCCACACAAATAATTATTTCTCAACGATTGTAGTTCCAATTTACATCACTAATTATATAAATTTCAAGTTACATCACAATTACATCAACTGAAAATGGAAAGAAAAGGGAGAATTTAGGCCTTTTTTAAAGACGAAAGGAATGTGATCTTGCCCGACCGAGTGTCGGTGTCCCTCTTCATAGTCTCCCTCGCGCATCGCTTCACCAATTGCAGAAATAAGCACAGGTGAAGACATTTTGGCGTTGTGTCCATATACCATAGCCTCGGAAGCGGACCTTCTCATGCTTTTACCAGAGCAATTTTATCGTCGCCTCCAGTGGCAAGAGGTCGTCAGCCACCTTCCTGTAGCTCGCTCCGATGAAGTGCTCAGAATCTTGACACAAATTACTAAAAAAATGGGCTTCCAGAAACCGTCTCTGTAATTGTTTCTGCTCATTGCAAGGTCTGGCAGAGATGTATGGTAGATCCACGTGCACCGCCTATGCTGACGAACTTTGACGTACCTTTGGGTGGAGAACAGATGTGTGCACAGGTTGTCAAGGGGTTGGTAGGATGGCACTTTTGTTGAACTTAGGTTAGTTTGCATCGATCTACCAAACACAGATCTTGTAGTCCTGGTGCGGATTCCACAACGTCGGAGGAGGCAGAGGACTGCTTCCATGCTCTTTGTTTGAACGTGGCCACCAAATACCTTCTAAATATCTCAGCCCATCCAAACATCACCACGACAACACCTACCATTCAAGGCATCAATACAGACAACTTTTCACCTCCCAAAAAAAATCACACACAAAAAAGAACAAAAGAATGGAAAGCCAACCATATGTCACCAAACCTCTGCTTCTTTCATGACAGATATGTAATTAAAAACATACATTAGCAAGAATAAAAAAAAGGAACAAAAAAAAAAGGATATAAATTTGACACAGTTACACAGAGTCACAGATTCATATAGAAACTGAAAACAAAAAATTATAAATAACACTCACAAGAAGATATTTAAGCTTATATCCTCGTCCTCCTTTCCCCGCTGGCCGCGATAAAGTAACATCAAAAAGTGAAGTAAAATCATCCTCGTCCCACATATGTGGGTGCTTTGTTCATGGCCTGTCAGTTGCAAAATTTCGACACCCGGTAGGTATTAAGATTGTAGCTGATATCTAACATACAACTCAAAGAAAAATTATAGAGATCTATCAACTCTGTGCAGAAGTCTAAAGCATCTCAAACTACGTTTGAACTAAAATTCCATCATCTTGAACATCAATTTATTCATCATACGAATAATATGAACCGAGATCTTCACCACAACAATTATTAGAACACGCAATTGCTCTCGAAAAAACAACAATTGAGTGTGTCAGGCACATGAATCTAAAGCTGTGAATGTTATAACATACGAATTAATACCTGCATAATAAGAAATGTAAGACACGTCATGGGAGTCCTTAAAAGAAAACAAACTCATTACATACTTAGGAAAAAAAATAGTCTTCATGTAGTTGCAAACCTGTAACACAGCTAATTAGATCCGTAAGCTTGGTGACAATGAAAGCTAATGAGAAAACGAAAGCTATCCATCCATGAGCTATTTGATAAGGAAGTACAAAGGCAAGAGTAGTCTCCAGGGTGCACAGAGCAATTCATAAAGGCTTTCGCCACACGTAATAATTTATTGCCTGATTGTCTTGAGTTTGGCCTCTCTAACTGTCTGAAAGGAAATAAGATGGGGACAAATCATAAAAATGAACCTAATCGAAAATGGTTCTTTAATTTTCTTTTGAAGTTACAAACACACTACTTTTTCTTGAAATTTTGAAAGATAATTAGTGGTGCAATCATCATCATCATTGAAAAAAGCAGCTGCCTGAGATGGCGTACCGTGAGAGCATTAATAAACTGTTGTTCCCAGATTGAGGGCAGATCAACTTCCTGTGCAGCCGAGTCTTCACGAGATTGTTCTGAACAGGATTCTGTAACGTCAGTATAAGGCAAGCTTTCATACATATAACCTGCAGTTTAGAGTGATTTTTTCTGTACAAAATAATAGAATGCTAAAAAGGGTATCCAGCTTAACAACATTTTTTGTGACAGGCTACCATTTTCTCTGAGATAGTGATATTAAGATTAACCAATGACAATTATCTATCGATTCATTAGTCGAGGTGAACGTTATTCTTGATTGAAATAAAATGAAGGGTAAAATGATTTTAGAACAATGAACAAAAACAGGAACGTGATTTTGATTATATGGGCGAGACAGAACACATATATTTCAAGTTTTCAACATAATTTCTTGATTACCTGCATTACCAGAATGGATTGAGAAAATGTCGACAATATCCCTGCTTCTATCCGGATCAATTTCGATTAATTTGGAATACATATCACGAATACTTTTGCCAGTTTCTGCTGGTACCCAGTCCTCCGGCCTTTCACCTCTCTTCCTAAGCAGATAAATTTGACGCCAAAGGTAAGAACTAAGAACTAAAAAGTCAAAGTTTGCTTTTTTTCTTCTCAGTAATGCATAAACGCCTAGGCTATTTTATCTTGTAAAATTGAGAGAAAAAACAACGACAATAAATGATATCAGCCAAACAACCTACAATGGCAGAGACACGTATGGCCAACGTTTATCTTGAGCATAGGCATGAGTAAGCAGCATACTAAAATGCAACACCGTGAAAAAAGCTTCCCAAAGTGTAATGAATTTGGCGTCCACACCTGAGAAGTGGAGATCATGCTTAATGTTTCCATCTTATAACCAAAATCTCTGAGTTTCGGGATTACACAAGAAAGCACAGACTGAAAGAGAAACATTTAGACAACAAAAGACGAAGCTAACCAGATTTCGCATTATTTTATTTTTAAAGAATGAAGATGTAGCTTCGTCAAAGGGCCTCGACGAATCCCTCTTCAACACCCCTCCATACACTTCTATAGAATCAATTTTTTCACCAAGAACCACAAGAAATTGTGCCCAGAATCTTAAAAAAAAACAATATAATATGTAAAAAAAAGACATGCTACTTTAGTGACAGTTTACAAACCCATAAATCGCGAGGAGGGGCCTGTTTCTTCTTAGGGCCATGGTGCAGAACAGACGCATTCACTGGTAGCCGAGGGTGGGTAGTACAACAAAATGAATTTCGGTTGGCTCACGTTGTCATCCAGACACGAATTTTTTGGTTCTGTGATCGACAAAGACACTATCCCCATAGATCGCGATAGATTTAACTGCAGCGGAGCTTTTTGCGGTTGAAGTAAAATCAAGATTTTAGGGTTGCAGTTGCGCACGTTGAAGCTACCTCGCTGCCGCCATCGAGTAAAGGTGTTTTCCGGCGAGGGTGAGGAAAATTTTGCAAGATTGTGGCGTAAATGAGAGAGAAGCTCCGTAGTTACGGGTTTGATTTGAAATGGAATAAAAGAATGGATAATCTGCAAGCATGTTCTTCAAGCTCTTTCAGCCTTTAGTCGGACGCGTGTGCAGAAATATGGGAAAAGTGGCTATCACATCATAGTAACTTCACCTTCACCCTTCACCTGCTCCTGTCAGATCCCAAAGCTTGCGTGTGAATAAATTCAGTATAGGAGAGAAAATGTCAACACAATTCAGCGTAAAAAGAGGTTCAATCAAAACAGTGCAATAGCAGAAGACACTGTGAATTAAAATGCACCCCATCAAGGCATTCAAACGGTGTCGTCTTGGCCCAATGAAGTAAAAAAAAAAAAAA